TGTCTTTTTTTTCGGATCAAGTTCGAAATGGCCGACTGGCGGCCATTTTGTTAAAGAATTCAGTTCTGGATCCGTATCCAAGACATGTCTGGATTGATCAAGTTCAAACTTCACACACACATGGTACATCATGTCACAAATAGATATGTGCATTTGTTTCATGATCTGCTTAACAATAGCGGAATGATGGCCATTTTAAGGCCGAAAATGCATCAAAATCACATATTTTCACAATTCCAGAACCGGATCTCAGTCATGCATGGATGGATTTTGTTCAGATTTAGCACAATGTGTTGTACATATGCAGGTGCATTTCGGTCATGATCTGCTTTGAATGTATATGTCACTCAAATATGAACGGAACGGGGACGTGTCATTGACAATGACTTGTCAATATTGATATTTATCCGTTCAATAGTTGGGTTATTTAATACAACGTGTTATATAAGCACTTACCGTGTTGTAATTCAATACCGTCAAGTCAGTATTTTCCAGATGCTTAAATTTTAGCAGGTAAAATGGGCTCAAAACGTCCAATTTAAACACCTAAAAACTTATTATAGTATTTTCCAACACCTGTACTAGTATACCTATATTGTCGTAATACATGTTCTTCCTTTGGAATATAAATAAGCTTTCAGTGATTGCTGTAAATTTTGAATATTGAATTATTCGATTTTGAATTTCGGCCTAGTTCAATTTTTTAAATGGTTCTATGTATTTGTTTCAAGAAACCAGTTAAATGTTCTCAATTACTATGCAAAGTCAACCGAGTTTTTAGCGTAACCGGTACGTGCAATTTTCAAAAAATTGGGTAAAATTTGGCTGAAATAAAACATTTTTTAAATGTAGAAATAAATTGGCGAAATGAATGAATTACTGATGATGAAAGCCAGATATTAGAAATATGCTCTCCAGGATCTGTCAATTAAATAAATATGGTAAACCCATATGTTGTTATGTTATGCTCACTTTTGTCAAGTGAAGGAAAGATCGTGCATCGTTAGTTGGTATCCATCAATCAATCCATCCATTTGATATTTAACTTCTCAAAGGGAAAGGTTGCAATAATTGGGCTATATATTTTTTTTTATGTACAAGTTGATGCATAGAGAATCCCAGCCTCAAAATTTCCTGACAGATATAATGTTAATGCGTACGTTAGCGCCACTTGTTGAGAAGGATACATTAGATGAAATGGAGGATCGAATACAAAACGAAAGAATCTATACCTTCGCAGCTGTGTTGCTTTGTAATTGTCCAATGGAGTACATGTAAGTACAGACGTGACCTTTATTTAGTTTAATGTTTATTTAACAGCGTATGTAACGTATTCACAAACACATATTTATCCTATACGTACTCCCTAGCCAATTACCAAAAAAAATTTGCAAGATCACTACACTTTTGTATACACTTAAGTGGCCCGTGAACAAAACAACGAACGTGGCGTTATTTTACCTAGATATAAACTGTATTTGATTTGCTTTCTTATAT